ACTACCACTATGTGCTGACCTGACACATAGTGTCTTTTGTATGTATATATCTACATGTATAAAGTAAAACTGTATATACCGCAAGCCATCGTCTCCAAGTTGTCACTTCCAACTGAGAACCATACGTCGGCCCCTTGCATATACGAGTGTGCAAATCGTTCATTAATCAACGTCAGATCGACACGCGTTGTTAATTTGGTGGAGCTATCGGGTATGACAGACTTCTTAGTCTGTCCTTTCCTGTACCTCTTTGCAGCAAGGCATATGGTTCACAAAACTGTAGGAAGTGACAGTCTCTTATTGAAAGGATATACTACCTTCCTGAAGGCCAATCACCAAGAACGAAGAAATGGCCTTTAACAAGATTGAAGAAAGAACAAGAACCTCTCCGATCAAGAACAAGTTCTCCGATCCCAAACCTTCCCTGCTCAAATATCTTAGCAACACTGCTAAGACTTCCCCTTCAAGATGTCGTTCCTGCACACTGTACAGGACCAAAGAAAAGAAGTATACACGCCTATCCCACAGAGATCCGACCACAGCCATCCATCATCATGCAGACCCTGCACAATACAGAAACCGCCTCACAGGCACCTACAAGATGGACACTGTGTACAAGATATCTCATGGGGACTTATTAATTTGTGTTTACTTACATGGACTCAATCAAGGATATATATTGTGTGACTGTTGAATATTGCAACCAGGTATGTTTAATCAAAACCAGTATATTAATGCCAAAATGTGTCTTTCAAAAATTCAGTTTTATATATGTGCAATATACTCCAAATTACATCTTTAGTCAAGCTAGATCTTTGAAGTTATTGTGTAGGGAATCTTTGAAATGTCTCCAGGCCACGCCAGACATATAGATACAGCGAGGGCCCAGACAAACCTAAGCTGTAGGGTTATCGAGTCACACCTTAAAGCTTGACTCGTAATTTCAAAAATCTAAACGACAAAATTTGTCATTTGTTACAAGTAATTAATGTGCACAGTTTGGTACAAAATTGAATGTATTGTCTAGGACTTTGAATTCAGTTAGGGATATTCATGGGTGAACCACCCCCACATATATGTTTATTGTATGTCAGTATTAAGTAATTAACAGCACAGCAGTATTCAGCATTTCAGAGTTTTGATGTCGGAATCAAGGGATTTTTTTTTCTTGGGCATCGCACCCACAATATCTGGGCAAGCTCCGTCAAAGACACGGGAAGAGCATCCATTGTACTTAAAAGGGCAAATGTACCCACAAGTACCGTTTGAGTCACGTGGTAAAGCTAGACTCCTGGTTTCAAATTTCTTTATGCAAAATATTTGCTGAGATGTTTAATTTGTACTTTTTATGACATTACTCATTATCATTATTCGGTACTGAGTCGCACCGCCAAACTAGACTCCTGAATTCAAAGAACCTTCAGTGATATATTTATTGAATCTGTGCAAAGCAGTAATTACCTTGTAGTGAAATTGCACATTACAAAGATAACTTGGTTAGTTTTCAAACTGGCACTAATTCAAATTAGCTAGATGATCACTTTCATACCGCCATTGCATAGATATATTTGTTGCATAAGGATTTCATGTAACTGATTTTGTTCACATTTGCATGGTCGTTTTCGTTGGTGAAAAAACTCACACATATCAATTTGGACTTATATAAGCTTGGGGTCCAAGCTTCACGTAACGGAGGGAAGTTGTCATGGCGACTGATTTACGACACCTATTGTCTGAAGAACATTTAATTGCAAAGGCTCATTACCCTGGAGCCATGACATCTATATGCCTTGAAACATTTATTTAATTGCTGTTATTTATAAGATGCTAATCCTAATTGTTAATCCCCATTTTTGTGTACATTGAACGTCTGCCATCCTGAACAGGATGTGCAAGTATGTCACTGATGATTTACTGTTTACATTTATATTTATTACTTACTAAATGTCAGGTGACCTTGGCTATATAAGCCTTGGTCCAGAATGATTGAGAGGAGAGGAGAGGAAGAGAAGGGGTTTGACTCTCTTACCAAGCAGACCTCTCTCCCACAGCCCAGAGTGTGTACCGACTCTCTGTGGCACCCTCAGTTATTATCTAAGTATATTGTAAATTGTTAATTGTTCTTGTAAATAAAATTGTGATTAGTCTCCTGTGACTCTGGCTCTTTGCTGACTAATTCCCCAAGAAAACCAGCACGTCATTTGGAAAGTATTGTTCACCCAGAACAGTTCCATGATAGGTATATTTTATAGCTAAACGTGTACAGTTTCAATATCGATATTTTTGTGGAATAGTTTGGTTCCTCCTGAACAAATCACCATGAAAATATATTGTCCTTACCCACAGCTAATTCTCATCAAGTGACCTGAGTTACAACAAACTAGAGCTAAGCATAGCGGAGTTATGCCCCCTTTTCTATGTATGTGTGTAACCTCTCTCTCGCCTTTTGACGTCATAGAGAAAAATCAGTTTTCGTCATTTAAGGCATGCTATTTTTTAAATTGAATGTATGTCGTTATACAAACACATATAACTCCATTTGATATGTAGTTATGTCGTTCAGATATTATAGGCAGTATTTTGTTCGCTTACGGTTTCCGTAAAGCTTCTTAATAAATTTTTTGTCGCACAGTACTTTTATCGGTGTACGATAAAAAGCGGAGAAATTAACTTTTTTTCAATGCAGAATAAATTCGGACAACACTTAGAAGTGTCTTTTTTAAAACCGGTTTAATATTTGCAGTTAAATAAATTTAAACAATCAAATAGGAAATTTAATATTCTCTGCTTAATTTTGTAGCCAGAGGTAGATCCAGTGCAGCATGAGCTCAATTCTCGCACAACCTTCACTTTTCCGATCTTAGGAAAATGTGCGTCAGAAAAAAACCTCGGCATCCAGAGGGATAAGGTGTCTAATGCGATTGGGTGGTCAGGCTCGCTGACTTGGTTGATACATGTCATCGTATCCCAACGGCATGGATCGATGCTCATGATGTCAATCACTGGATTGTCAGGTCCAGTTTTGATTATTTACAGACTGACGTCATATAGCTGGGATATTGCTGAGTGCGGCGTTAAACAACAAACAATACAACTCTCTTCTTGTCTCATATCATCTTACCCGGACTGAGCTACTTGTTTCTGAAGAGGTCAGCTATTCTCTGCCTCTGGTGTAGAACTTTGTTTTGACAACTCTGTAGGCAAAACGAACTGAAGTCAGAAGTGAGCGTCACCTACATTTTCTGTCAACCACCTTGATTGAGCAGTGCATATGTCACTTCTTATTAGTTACTGTTATGTATATTAATAATTTATGACTTTTCCCATGTTAGTGACCTTGGCTGCATAAGACTTGGCCAGAAGGAAGAAAGAGACAGCCCCACACTCAAGCAGTACTTCCTGTATTCATCTACTTGTATAAAGCAAACTTGTATATACTGCAAGCTAATAACTTGATGTTGTTCCTTTCTACCGAGAACTGTACATAGACCCCTTGCATATAGGAATATGCAACTAAATAATCATTATCAACGTTACAAACGTCTCTAACTCATGCCCAGTGACATGTTGTTAATAAACTGATATACAGATATACAACAGCATCTGAATGATTAAGACACATGCACATTGTCGTCGACATTTTTGAAAGCAATTGGTGAGAATTATGTCAAGAGAAAGTTGTGTTGCATGTGCAAAAGTGACAAGGCCCTGGTCATTTCAAATTTTGTTTCGGGGACAAATAACTGAACTACTAACCAGTGTATGCAGCTCGTGCATTGTGTAAAAATGTGAACATAAACATACATCATTAGTATATTAAAGTGCAAAGTTTGTTTATTAGTTTGATCATGTTGATTAAACACTTATCTTTGATAATATTTAAAACCTGAAGATAAATCATAAAAAAAAACAGACATGCTTTTTTCTTCACATAACAAGCCAGAACTTGTCAGGTTGGTCAGTAGACTGCTCATATATATTGTACATGTCCCACATGCAGTCAAGTCTTGTTAATCTGACACTCGTTAATCCAACAATCAGCTTTATCCGAGACTAATGATGGTTGCTATTTAGACCTGTTAATCTGACAATCTCATATTCCGACTCCGACACTACTAATTTACAACGAATTACCAAAATCACTCATTAGTCTTGTGAATCGGACACAGTGATATGCGTACTCTGTGGTCATCTGCCCGTGAGAACACGGCCCATGTTTTGATGAGAGACGAGTCGGCTGGTAGCTGCATATTATAACGGCTGCACATTGACGGCTATATATCTCACATATATAGTTCCATATATCGCACATACATAGTTTCATATATCGCACATATATAGTTCCATATATCGCACATACATAGTTTCATATATCGCACATATATAGCTCAATATATCTCACATATATTGTTCAATATATTGCACATATATAGCTCAATATATCTCACATAAATAGTTCAATATATCTCACATATATAGTTCAATATATCTCACATATATAGCTCAATATATCTCACATATATAGCTCAATATATCTCACATCTATAGCTCAATATATTGCACATATATAGTTACACATATTGCACATATATAGCTCAAAATATCACACATAGAAAGCTCAATATATCTCGCATATATAGCTCAATGTATCACATATCTATAGTTCTCATATCACACATTTTTTCTGTATAGAACTCACATTGTTTTTAGGTAAGTGCTTTTTGCAAATGAGAATGGGGAATCCCAAGTTAATTCATTCATGACACATGATTACAGGGTGATTGAAAATAAAGGACTGACGGGAAGTTTCATTAATGTTTATTACCACAGATAAACGTGACAAAGTAAGCTGTCAGAATCAAATCTCTTTAGTCACACATGTTCTATGTTTTATATGAAGCAATCCTGAGGGAATAATGCAAGCATACATACTAACCACATGCCACCACAATATACCCAAGCTGTTTCATTAATTTTTATTCACAATGTTTTTATTTCAGATTTCAAACAATGGGTATAACTGGACTCCTGCCATACTTGAAGAAGATCCACACCCCAGTAAATATTTCACAGTTTGAAGGCTGCACTGTTGCTGTGGATGCGTATTGTTGGCTTCATAAAGGAGCTTTTTCATGTGCTGACAAATTGGCACTTGGCGAGACTACTGATCAGTACGTGAGTTTTCAATGATTATCATTAGATGAATCATCCATCCAAATTGAAACCATGACATCTCTTGCAAACTGTTCTTATTTTAGCTAGCGGGAATAGTACTGAGTGTGGCTCACCTATTGTAAACAAAATGTTCATGTATGCCAATATTGTCTTGGCTCATTCCTGGGAATTTTTTTAACATTTTCTTCTCCTACATGTGTTTTTATGGCATGCATGCTGTGTTATAAATGCCTATTATAATCTGATGTTGACTGACTTAAGCATTTCCAGATACATAACTTTGGGAATCACTCTTCTTTCCCCTCTGAAAACAATGCCTTCTCTGTCTCGGAGTTCATCTTGAAAATTCTGAAGTCAGTCATTTGAAATCGATGGCCTGATAAAACTCCTCATCCTTGAGTAAATTTTCTTTAATGTCCTATAATTTTGCATCTGTAGCAGGCAGATTTGAAGTGAGAGTATGTACATTGCAAGCAGTGTTATCTTCTAGATTTTCATAATCACTACTTGGTGGAATATATACTCCCTTGAGAATGTGTCAATCAATGCCATCGCTTTCCTGGCTTGTATATCAAGTTGAGTGTATACTTTTGTAACGTGGGTAAAATTCTCTGTAATCTAGATGGTATCTTGGACAGAGGATTCTTCAAAATGGGATTCCAATGGCTTTCGGTCTGATTCTACGTTAACATCTCTACCATAGGTGTACTAATGAAATTGTTCTAAGGTGAACACAACTGCCACCAGTTCTGTCTGTGCAAATTGCTTCAGTCAGTGATCTTGATGCATATGCAATAGGTTGGTTATCTTGAAGAAGTATTGGACTTCGATGAAACACAAATTACTACTACCGGTTTGGTGATGTCACAAAACTTCAGCATTGGACCAGGTTCCTCTGTGAGAACTTGACGTATTGTGTTGTATTATTTCTGCTGCTCCTCAGACAAGAAGAATTCAACATCTTTCTTCAACAGTGTCTCATTGGTTTTGTTATGTCAGACAGATTAGGAATGAATTTTGCAAAGTAGTTGACAAATCCCAACAGTCGTTCCACTCCTTTTTTGTCATCCAGTGGTGGCATTTTGCTGATTGCTTCAATATTTCTGTATCAACTGTTTTAATTTTTATGGCCTGTGTAGCCTTCGATTGTACTCTTCTGGTGTGGTGCCTTATTACATGCCATCTATGTGAGAATGTCACTTCTCAACACCTGGGAGATCCTGAAATCTCTAAAAAAAAAAAAAATGTTGCTGGAATACCTCTTGAGCTGATATGATCCCAAACAGCATTCTGAGGAATCAATACCTGCCAAAAGGTGTGTTGAATGTTGTGAGAAACTCACTAGGTTCGTCTAACTTCACTTGCCAATATCCTGAGTTTCAATCAATCTTAGAGTACAGTTTTGCCCCTGATAGCCTGGTTGGGAATTCCTCAAAAGTTGGTAGCTGAAAGTTTTCTTGATTTATGGCCCTATTTAGATGTTTAGGATCCAAATATATCCTGAACTTGTTAAGTTTGGTTTCTCAACTATCACCAGTAAACTGACCCTGTTTGTAGGCTGGTCTACTTTCTTGATGACTCAATGAACAACTACATCACAGGTCTTCAGTTTCTATCTAAGTGCAGTACGCACTTTTCATGGAGGATCTGACTGGTGGTTCTTTTGGATCTATCTCAGTGTGATATGGCTGGTTATAATTTATCTTGTACTGATCCAATGAATAGAGTTTCTTAATCATGGTCTGTTTCTTCACTGTATGTAGGGGGGCGGTCGGGTAGCCTAGTGGTTGAAACTCGCCCCTTTGTTGGTCAAAGAATCCCTCAACGATTATTTTTTATTTATATATGTCTTGCATCTAAAAATATACACAAGATACAGTTAAATGTGTTCTGTCATACTGTATAATACCGCATGTCCCTATGTGCTTTAAATTGCATCTGAAATGTATATAATACATGGGAAAAAATATGTGAATCATTACGCAACGACTTTACAATTCTTTTAGCTTTGCGCATTGGTGTTTAGACGGAACCCCGTCGCAAAAATGGCCACAAGAGGGGCACACGTTGCTATTTGGCTTGTCCCGGAATAACACAATTTGGTCACAAACGGGCCTTTGACGCAGTCGCAAAGAACAAAAAGACACTGTGTTGCGTAGGTGGCGTCTGTCTGGACTTGCAGGTATGGTCAGTGATGACAAGTGAATAGAACTCTTGACCCCAGCAGTGACAATTCACAGGATGTAATTGGTGTTTGAATGACATTGTTTATATACTTGTTACAAGTGCTTCTCAATCAACAGTGATGTGGAATACATAGTTTCAGCTTATGTCTAAGTTAGTATTTCTGCTATCCAAAATGTCTTACTGTTGATATAAATGCAATGTTTAATAATGCGAGCAAAGACCACTTGCATTTTTCGCATTTAACTCACGCTCGCATTAATTTCAAGATTTACAGTACAAATTGAAACAATGCCTAACCTACAAACCCCTCAAGGCACCTATCCACGCAAATCGCTTGGGGCCCTACGTGGGTGAATACAGTTGCCCGTCACCGCCCCCACTTGACCTTGAAAACCCAACCGGTACTCTTGTGCCAATGACGCTGAACAAGATAACCCATCTGGTACCCAAAGTGACAATGCCAATACGCCATGCATTACACCATCAACTTCCCAACAAGGCCACAAACAGCTAGCCACACCCGCATCCAACTCCCACGATAACAGTTGGGACCCTCAGGATGATATTCCACTGGCTGAACTACAAAAGAGATGGAATAATCATGACCAATGCACATCTGACACTGAAGATTCCGGGGAGAATAGGTCTTCAGCAACCCATGCTTGCCGTAAAAGGCGATTATGCTTGTCGTAAAAGGCGACTAACGGGATCGGGTGGTCAGGCTCGCTGACTTGGTTGCTGCATGTCATCGATCCCAATTACGTGGATCGATGCTCATGATATTAATCACTGGATTGTCTGGACCGCCGTCATATAGCTGTAATATTGCTGAGTGTGGCGTTAAACAACAAACCAACCAACCACAGTAGAGGAAACCCCTTTCATTGAACAAGTGGTGTCATCAAAACGCATCCCTTCAAGTGAAATATGTTGAACGCCCTACTCCACAGTGGGTATCTCAGTCACAAATGCCCACTTTTATTGTAGAAGACTACTATGCAAGGTGCACTCTGAAGAGTAAACAAAAGCAACAAAAAGCTGACAGAAAACCTAAGTTCCCGACATAGTGTAACCCAAAGCTAACAAATTATACCACTCAACGAAGGCGACACAGACACAGATGCTATTATTCATTATACGTCGGTGTCATCACATCATACATCCTCGATTGCAATGCTGTTTTCTTTCAAAACAAACATACATGCATAGAAAGTTTTTATATCACATACGATCTGTAACTACCTTCTACCTTCAATTACATAATACAGGTAACATTCGTACACACTAAAGTATAGTAATGCAAGGAAACAAGACACGAATAATGACTGACACTGCAGACTCATAAAAAATACCCATACCACATTTCTTCAATAGTTCGGTCATCACCTCTGTATGTAATATCTTCATATTCATGTATGAATGGCTGGAAGAGTGAAAGGTCTGCGGAGTTTTGTGTCTCATATAGGTGTCAACTGTATTTAAACAGGTACAGGGCAACCCACAGACAAAAGAGTCATCACGCTATTGTCTGGGGCCCTGGAGACACACCAGGTGAAATGTCACGAAGCGGCAGGGTGGCTGATGGATTCCACATTTATCTTGACCACAGGTGTGTTCGATACCCATAGGAGGGGGATAGAGCAATCATCCTCTCTCCTGTACAAGTCCCGATAGTAGTTAGAGGGCCAGCCAACCAAAGGGGAACTATGTGAAGTAATTGTTGATAAGGTGTGTTGATGACATGTGAATATAAATTCTTTTCATGTACTACATTTTATGTAATTTGTGCCACAAACAACAAAAAACATGTAGTACATGAAAAGAATTTTTATTACATACAAATGTTACCTATAAAAAAAGGGGCTGCCCTGGTTGCCTTTGCAAGACCCTGGGGTCGAGGTGAACCAGGTAGGATGAATGAATGTCCTGGGGTCTTAGGGACCCGGACTTGTGTACATCAGTGGGAGGAATACCAGTCCTGGGGTCCGATGACCCAGACGGTCCCTGCTGACGGTACCTAGCATAATCCTCTTTGGGGGCAACATACAGGCATGACCATGACTGCCTACACTGTGGGGTACTCACCAAAAGAGGGAAACTTACAGCAGACAGGCATGACCATGACCGCCTACACTGTTGGGTACTCTCTAAGAGAGGGAAACTTACAGCAGACAGGCATGACCATGACTGCCTACACTGTGGGGTACTCTCCAAGAGAGTGAAACTTACAGCAGACAGGCATGACTGCCTACACTGTGGGGTACTCTCCAAGAGAGGGAAACTTACAGCAGACAGGCATGACCATGACCTCCTACACTGTAGTATACTCTCTAAGAGAGGGAAACTTTCAGCAGACAGGCATGACCATGACCTCCTACACTGTTGGGTACTCTCCAAAAGAGGGAAACTTACAGCAGACAGGCATGACCATGACCTCCTACACTGTTGGGTACTCTCTAAGAGAGTGAAACTTACAGCAGACAGGCATGACCGCCTACACTGTAGTATACTCTCTAAGAGAGGGAAACTTACAGCAGACAGGCATGACCATGACCTCCTACACTGTTGGGTACTCTCTAAGAGAGGGAAACTTGCAGCAGACAGGCATGACCATGACCGCCTACACTGTAGTTTACTCTCTAAGAGAGGGAAACTTACAGCAGACAGGCATGACCGCCTACACTGTAGTTTACTCTCTAAGAGAGGGAAACTTACAGCAGACAGGCATGACCATGACTGCCTACACTGTGGGGTACTCTCCAAGAGAGGGAAACTTACAGCAGACAGGCATGACCATGACTGCCTACACTGTG